AAAACATACCTAACCAGCATATGCTGGTTTTTTCAACAGGGTATGTGGTGGCTATGTATTTGGAGTGGGTTTTAATGGGTTGCTATAGTCTTCTGGGTAGTATCTAGGGTTCTCTAGGCTATTCTGGGTAGTTGCTAGGTGCTTTCATATTGGCCCATGTCAACAGAGCCCACCTCCAAGTCTCTATAGGTACGTCTGCATGTACTCATTTTCACGAATCTGATCTGATTTCACATTCTATTTATATGAACCCCTAAACATTGCGATCCGATTCATGTTTGTTTACATGTGCATTACATGCATTCTGAAGAAAGCGTAGGTTTACTGCTCTGTTGCTGTGTTTAGAACCAGAGAAAGCCAGTGTGATAATGTTACCAGAGCTACTGTGAGACAGACTGCTGCAGGGATGACATTTTTTTTGGTAGGATGGAAACAAGATCACATTTTAGCACTTGTGCTGAAGTCAATGTTGTGTGTGTGTGTGTGTGTGTGTGTGTGTGTGTATGTTAAACGCCAGAAATAAGGTCTGTGGTTAACACAAACTTGTTTTATTCTATGACACAAAATACATCAGTAATACCCGCTTCTTTTAAGCTTTTACTTGTTGGTTGCGAACAAGTGGCTAAATGGGACTACAGATGTTGTCAGTGACATTAAACGTCATCACGTTGAATAGGTGAACTCATCTACTCACTTTACTGTGTTCTTATCGCAATCTTGCAAACTATTGTAAATCAAAATTTCAGGGAAAATGTTTTTTAAATAAAGACTAAAAGAGTTGATACTGTGATATAGTATATAGCCTGCCGACTGTATTTAGGCTTTAAAGGTTTAATTTGTGAATATCAATCCAATACAATCATAAAAAAAATTGTATTTGTTTACATGAAGTGCATTTCAGTCTAACTGAGCCATCAGTCCAATTACTAATGGATTATTTGGTCGCATGTGAATTTAGCTCCTGCCATTCTGGGTTCCTCCTTCAGTGTAAGTCTACAGGACTTTTATTTGTCCCATTTAATTGCCCACCATTTGAAAATCATTAGTCTGTTCACTGTACAGAAGACTCTGTGTGTCCAGTCCTTCAGATTTCATCTCCAGCCCGCCCTAAACGTACTTGCCTGGACATTTCTAGTGATCCTGAAGACCTTGATTAGCTGGTTCAGGTGTGTTTAATTGGGGTAAGAACTAAACTCTGCAGGACTCTTGCCCTCCAGGAGCAGGGTTGGACACCCCTGGTTTAAACCAACTCTCACTGCATGCATCAAAGACCTGAACTCTTCTCCTCGCTGCTCTATCTGCCATCTGCTCTCGCTAAGTCATGTGGCCAGTCATTTTGTACAATTCAGCCTGTGCATTTCCGAAGTGAACTCATCCATGCTGACTTGATTCAAGAAAATGTCCTCTTGCAAATGACATATTGCAAAACTCCTGAGCACATCTGGTGCTGTACTCATGCCCTCCCCACTCATTCTCATTCTGTATCTCTCTGTCAGCCCCCAGCCCTCCCTCACCAGGCTCGGATATGAATGCAATGCACCAGAGAGGCAAACAAGAGTGAAGCTCAGTGATTTGCAAAGCTGAAGTCAAAATGGAGAGGTTAAACTCTTCATGGAACGTCCTCTGGTTCATGTGTGTGTGTGTGTGTGTGTGTGCAAATCTGATCCTTGAATCATTTGATGTGTTTTAACAAGGTTATACTAGACTTCCTATACCTGCCAGGGTGGCCATTGCTATGCATTATGCAAACACAGCTAAAATCCATTTTAGTTAAACAGAAGAGTATTTTCTATGTAAATAACTTTATGGGTAACATTTTACTTAAAGCCTTTATGTATAATGCATTATAAAAGTAGTTTAATGCAATAATTATGCCTTGTAATGCACCTTATAATGCATTCTACAATCTCATGAATAGTTGTAAGCACAGTTAATACATTATAACACTCATAAATGTATTGTTACACTGCATTTTAAATTTGGTTATAATTATTTACGACAAGATATAATGTATTATAACTCACATTATGAATAATTATAATGCATTATACCCTTTAATAACCCTTTACAATGCATTATACATAAAGGCACTCTGCTCCGGTCCAGAGACACGATAGCACGGAGCGGATCACATTCGCGAGTCGGCGCAGACCACAAAATGTTTCGGAGCTATACGGTGTGTGTGTGTGTGTGTTTATGACTAAACTTTAACTTAAGCCCCGTTCACACCAAGAACGATAACTATAAAGATAACTATGAAGATAACGATATTAGCGTCCACACCAGCGAACGATATCGGTTTATTCTAAGCGCACGTGCGTCTGCCGCTTTAAATTCTCGAGCTCGTTACAGCAGGATGGATTCTGATTGGCTGTCAGTGTTTTATCGTTCATCAACGTGAAAAAAATTGTTTTGAAAGTGATTCCAACGATATTGTTTCTCTGTATCGTTATCATTATAGTTGTGGTGTGAACTATGCTATTCTTTAATATTGAAAACGATTTTTAGAACTATATCTTTATCGTTATCTTTATAGTTATCGTGCTTGGTGTGAACGGGCCTTAACGCTGCGTGTTTCTAAGATTTTAGTATTCTATTTAGTATTCTTTAGTATTTAGTTTCTATTTAGTATTCT